ACACAAGGGGGGCGCCATAGGACCCTGCAAGGGAAAGGAGCCACCCTAAAACAGGATGCCAGGGCCAGTGTTCAGAGGACTAGCTGACTCTGCAGGAAACTAAAACTTTTAAACATTATTATCATTATTATTATTATACAGGATTTATATAGCGCCAACAGTTTGCACAGTGCTATACAATGTAAGGAAGACATTACAATACAATTCAAAACATGATGGTAAGGAGGGCCCTGCCCCTGAGGGCTTCCAATCTAAAAGATCAAAAAGCAGCATCCATTGTAAGTGATTTAAAACAGCCTAAAAACCTTTTAATATCCCTTTAAATTCATATAATGATGTGCTCATCAATTTCAAGAATTAAAGGAGAACTATGGGGCCAATGTTTTTCCCTATAGTTCCTTAGGGTAATGGGAGGACACAAACTAGCGTCCTCCCGTCACCCTAAACTCAGTATACCGTGAGCTACAGCTCGCGGTATACTGAGACGCCGCAGCTGAAGCGAATCCCCACAATTATGTCTGGATCCGCCCAGCTGCGTGAGTGACAGCTGGCTCTGCCTATCTAGAGGCAGGTCCAGCTGTACCCGCCCCCTCCCCCGTCCGTTCCGCCTTAAAACCTTTTCCGAAATAAAAATGTCCATTGCCATAACCAATATCCTGCATGCACCTAATCTCAGGGTAGTACTTGTTCTAGCAGACCATCCTCATCAACCTCATACCTTACCCAATAAACTAGAGTGACCCCAACTGGCTGGAGGTTGTTACTACCGTCCAGGGAAATAAAATGTAGCAAAGCGCTCATAACATCTGCGTACAATGGCCTCACTCATTCCTCTATGTCCGTATGGAAGTCCCTGACTTACAGATATCTACTTCTGCTTTAAGAAGAACAGGCAGCTGTGAATTTCACAATATTTAATGACTGCTCAGTCTGAAAGCGGTTTGTCTAGTTCTGGAAAGTGATGTCTTATTACAAACCCGGTGACGATTGGTAGTCCTGAATCATCTCTGCTATTGAGTCATCAGAATTGCAGTCCCTTTCATAAAGAGAGAGAGAGAGACGTTTGTGACCTCTTCTCCTCCCCGAAGTTCTCCTCTCCGTCCACGAAGATCTGTTTACGGTTAGTTTGAGAATCCCATTTTCCGTCACCTCGTGTTTATCTTTCCTTCTGTCCTCGGTTTGTGACTTCTTCCAGTTTGGGACGCCGGGATTCATAGGAGGTGAGCTCAGAGGGACGTATGGATGTATTGATGGATGGATGGGATGGATGGATGTCTTTGGTTTGGGGTATGTTGCATCTGTCTGGATGGGTTTTTAGCTATTTCAAATGCTGATTAAGTCACTTACAATAGATGCTGCTTCTTGATGTATAAAAGTTTTAGTTTCCTGCAGAATCAGCTGGTCTCCTGATCACTGGTCCTGATACCCTGTTTTAGGGTGGCTCCGTTCCCTTTCAGGGTCCTATGGAGCCACCGTCCATAATCGTAAAAAAATTTGCATTTAATATTTTTATTGCATTGGACCCAGTAAAGCATTGCAACAGTCATCAGTGGATCATGGGTGCAATGTTCTAGCTCCTGCAGATACCTTCTCCCGTCCATCGAGGTATGGACATTCAGTTACATGGATGAAAGGAAGTATCAATGGACTACAAGTGCAGTGACATCCCCTCACTTAAACTACAAGTCCCTCTGCCGCAGTGGTTGATGGGACTTGTAGGCAGGCAGCAAAAGGTACAGTCGGTGAACTGGTTGTTCCTCTATTCACTGTCTATTATACCAGATCTATTGATTAATCAGCTTCATCCTGTTAAAGAATATCTGGACTTTTAGTTACTCAGGTAAGTGGATTCCTTACACCAATGCTAATGGGGTTCCTACTTCCCATTCTTCCTCCTACAGACTTTGGTGCTAGGGCATTATTCCTTTCATGACCAACAGTATGAAATTCTTCCTCCTACTGGCTGCCAGCACCGGGGCATTCTTCATCCCACTCACTATTAATGCCGGGGCTTTTTTCCTCCCACTCTATGCCAATGCTGGGGTATTGTTCCTCCCGCTCAGTGCCAACGCTAGGGCATTCTTCATCCCACTGACTGCCAATGCCGGGGTATTTTTCCTCCCACTCTATGCCAGTACCTGGGTATTTATCTTCTCACTCACTGCCAAAACCAAGGCATTCTTCATCCCACTCTACGCCAATGTCGGGAGATTTTTCCTCCCACTTTATGCAAATGCTGAGATATTTTTCCTCCCACTCTATGCCAATGCTGAGACATTCTTCCTTCTGTCACTGTATTTTTCCAACTGACCAATGATGTGAGGGTATTCTGCCTGCCATACGTACCAGTGCAGGGCAATTCTTCCTCCCACTGATTATCTACATTGGTGCATTTCTTCCTGCACCCATCACCCACTTTGCCTACATACCCACATTGTCCATGGAATGGATTATTTAAGTAATTACTATGTATGGTTGAGTACAAAGACTGCAGCAAATGTATACAGTATATACTGTGAGTAGGCTTAGACGTATTCTTATCTAGGGAATAAAGACATCAATTGAAAATCTTTACTGCCCAGTCAGATTCTATCAGGGTATTTTTTTGCTCTCTTTGATTTGCTAGGGATTTTCACCTTCACTTCCTGTCCCGAAGATGCAACAGGAAATGAGATGAAATCTCTCCAAAGTGACAACTGTAACCGGGCCCCATCTCTTGCTTTAGTGACATCTCATGATCTAGAGACTGCTCTAAAATGTTAGATTTCCTGGCTTTCTGTCCCAGGGATAGTGGTCATTAGGACAGGTGAATCTCCTTGACGCACAGTGTAATCCTTTCCCGCTATTTCCAAAAAGTTTTGCCCTTACATACACTTTTAGGGCTTGTTCGCACGACGTCCGGATTCACTCCGGACCAGATCCGTGCGCTGCTTTTAACTGGAACATAAAAAAACGCACTGCACGCATAGCACTGCGTCTGCAGATCTGCACCAGATCTGGACCGGAAAATCGTGTGAACAAGCCCTACATTATTTAATGCAAGCAATGTAAGTAACTGAATATGACTTCGTATCAGCCTCTTGCAGTCCCTGTAGAACAGAGCTCAGACTGGAAAAGGGAGAAGCAGCACAAGGAGCCAGCTACATGTGCTGCAAAGGAAGATGCTGATAGGAGCAGAAAGCAGAGTGACAGAGACATGAGCTTATTCTTTCACTGTCCAGTCACAGGCTGGGGGAAGGTCAAGACTTGTGTTACTTAACTGCACCAGAAAAAAATCAGGGCTGCAGACAGGGCTGTGCTGTGTGGCAGAGGTGTTTAACTTTCGGGCCGCAATACGTCTATAGACGGCAGCCCGCAGAAGTGGTTAAAACAAGAACACGGCTGCACGTCTATTCTATACAGCTGCCGGATCGTTTGTACCGTGCAGTGCTCTCCTCCCCTCCCCCCCCGCCAGGGCCGCCATTGGTTTCCCGGGCCCCGCTAAACTCGTGCAGTGCCTGGGACCGGCTCGGCGGGTCTCCCCGCAACAATCAGAGAAAGAGATTAAACGGCTTCCCGGAATTACATAACTTCCAGTGTCACTGGAGCCAGGAGAAGAAGCTGGGGAAGCAGATCTCTGCTTCCTCAGCTTCTGTGGGGTCCCTAGGTGACATTAGGGATCTGAAAGACCCCTGATGTCTCCATGAAGAAGACCTGTCACACCATATCTGCTATTACACAGGGTGCTTGTTAGACCCATGTGATAGCAATAAGGTTAGTGTAAAAGAAAAAAAAAAAAAAGTTTAAAAATTAAAAAAATTAGTCACATAAAAGAAAAATGTGTTTTTTTTTTTTTTTAAGTCCCCCACGTGAAGGCACATACATACGCGTCAGTGCGCCAACATGTGAAAACGACAATTGCGTGACACATGTTACATATCGCCGTAAGCGTCGGAGTGAGAGCAATAATTCTAGAGCCATTAATCACTGTTAGCACTAAACTGATGAGCAGTAAAAGTGTTTAAAGTGTTCACTATAGGAAATTTTGGGTATTGAAGTTTTTTTTGCGGTTTCACGGGCGAACGCAATTTTAAGGCTTGAAATGTTTGGTATCTATTTACCCGACGTGACCCCGTATTTCGTATTTTATCAAAATACGAACATATATAATTTTTTGGAGATCTGAAGCTGTTTTCTAGCCAAAAATGTATATTTTATAATGTGTGCGCAAATAGTAAGAAAATACCCCGGACAGCAAGTGGTTAAATCGCAGGCAAGGATTGGCAGAAATACGAATCCTTTGCCTGGTGAAACAGCTGCTTATATGTATTTCTTTTATGTATTAAGCTTTTTACTTGGAGTTCAGCTTTAATAAGATTCTTCGTATCAGGGGCTGACTGGCAACTTTTAGCCCAGGGGGCAAGTACAACCCAGAGGCCCATGGTGCGGCAACTTGACCCCCCTCCCGCTTTGCCTCTTCCCCCGCCTTCTAACCACCCCTGCCTGCCACTTTTGCCATCCATGTAACAGTAGTGTGAATGTATTTATCGGTTTAGGAAATGTAAAGCACACTGGTAGTGGAGGGATGCCACGTCAGTGCTGTGCGCATGCATGACTGCTGCGCCACTGGTAGTTCTTGTTCCCAAGTCCCCGGGAACATAAAATAAAGCAAATTTTTTGCTCACCTGAACCTGGATCCACCGACAAGCGCGGCCTGCCATCTCCCACGCTGTTAGAAGCTGCGTACGGCGCGTGCTGTCGCAGCGGCCTCCTGGGTCGCTATGGCGATTGTTACGCCACTGGCACTATATAAATCCTGTATAATAATAATAGAATAAAATAATGTTTCTTTTTTTAGATTTCCGATATGCCGAAGCACAAGTCATAGAACACTTTCTCCGGATATTTGTTCACGCTCCTCTGCTTCCATATTCTATTGACTCCGGTCTGTTTTAAACTATTTGTCACCATTCATCAGAACAAGTGAAACACTTGACAATTCATCGAAAAAAGGAATCAATATGGTATCCTCAAGGTCTTCAGTAATATGGTTATTATGGTCATTGTTGATAGTCAAATCCCAGAACCTTATTAAGAACCTCAAGGAAGTGACCTTGGAAGGCCAACTCCTAATTAGCGAAGTGAATCCAGATAACCCGGGTCATGACACAGCCGAATTTATTGAACTTCATCACACCAGTGGACAGAATGTTTCCCTCGACGGCTACACACTGGTCTTGTACAATGGAAGGACGAACGCAGCCTACAAAGTGTTCAACTTAACGGGATATTCCACAGATAAGAAAGGTTTCTTCTTAATTGGGTCATTGGCGGTCAAGCCTGCGCCCACCATTATTCTACAAAACAACACCATCCAGAATGGACCTGATGCCATAGCTCTTTATTTTGGAAAGGGCACTTACAAAGAGTCAATGCAAGTTACTCGTGATGGGTTAGTTGACGCTCTGGTGCATAAGTCTAAGAGCACTGACCAAGCTGATGGTCTTTTAAGCACCCTCACACCAGGGATGGAGGCTTTTTTTGAAGATGCAAATTTTCACTCAGCTGATGAATCAATTGGCAGGTGCCTGGACATAGATGGCAAATGGACCTTTCACCTGACACATGTCTCCCCAGGCAGTGAGAATCACTGTAAGGGCTTTCCAATCATGATCAATGAGGTGTCCTCACCCTATGCTGAACAACTATATGTGGAGATCCATGGACCACCATCCACTTCCCTCTCTGGACTAACTATAGCGTTTATTAATGGGATGGACCAGCAAGTCTATTTCTCTACGGACATCAGGGGCCAAACCGATCCCAGTGGGTTGTTTTTGCTTGTAAACGAGAAGCACGACAATCGAGGTAACCCCGGGCTAATTTATAAAATCAGTAAAAAAAGAACGTTATGTACATTTCCCTTTACCAGTCAGCCAGATTCTTCCATTTTGGAACCAAGACTTGAAAATTGCCCAAAAAAATTGAACATGGGATCATATTTTAGTTGCTGTTGGCACTTTAGAAATGTTTCTCCATTTTCCTTTAAGTGAACCTGAAGGCAAGCACTGTAGCTACATGGACAGGACAGCCATTAATCAGCAAAGTGTTCAGCAAATGCATTAAAATTGGGTTGCAGTTGGGTTCTTTAGCACCTGCTCTGTACTTACATTGAAAGACTGTCAAGTAACTTCTGAGAGGGGGGAGAAGAGAGAGATGAATTTTGACTTCAGGGTGTCTGCTGTGAGCTTTGATGATGAATTGCTCCACAGTGCCTGCAGCTACAGAACCTAGTCATGGCTTCTTTTAAAGCTTATTTAGTATTAGTTAAGAATTTGTACATTATATGATATTAATGTCCATATCCTGGTCACAGCTGTGGCCCCCCTTTAATATTTACATTTCTGTGATACTCTGATATTATGTTAACCCTTTGTCTTCTGTGTTTGGTCTTTTTCCCCAAAGCCCAGCAGACTCTTCCCAACAATGCCCGCCTGTTACTAAAGGGAGGCGGTGCTGTAGTGCTGTACTTGGGGAAGAGTAGTGAAGTTTTGCAGAAGAATCGGTACACAACCAGTGGTTTGGTGAATGCTTTAGTATACGGTGATTACGAAGACATGGGATCGCATCCCCTTCAGGATCTGACCACTGGCAATAATATCATTTACTGGCATACATGGTGAGAACAAAATAAAATGCGGTCACCTTAAAGTTAAAGCATATTTAATCCCAAAGGCAAAAATTGATATATTACAGCTCACCAGTCTTTAGATGTGGCAGCTGCATTCTGTTCTGTTTGTATACTTTTTTTTAGTTACTTTCACCTAGTAATCCTGGGTGGGAATAAAACACTTTGGCCACACACACTTCTCCATTGTATGTATTGAAGGAGACATGGTTGTCATCCAGGCTGAACTTCATGTCAACCTTTGTTCACCTTTATTACATAATGGATTATGGGGCAAGCAGTTTACACGTCAAAGTTAGCACTGTGTTTGCTTCCTGTTCAGCTCACAGGAAGTGGCAAGGACACTGCATTTCTGGCAAGATGCAAAGGTGTTTTTTTGTAATTGCTAAAAAAAATTCTTAGCTAGGAAACTGTAAACGAATGCAGACACCACATCTAAAGATGGGTAAACTGCAATATAAAATACATTTTTGTTCTTGGGTTTAGTTATACTTCACAATTAAAAAATACGTATTTCCTCTCCTCGGATCTTCTAACGGCTCTTTCCTTGCATACCTTCTTTTGTTTTCTACTTTCTCGTTCTTTTTCCTCCCTTCTTCATGCCCCCATCTTTCACCCTTCCTTTCCTTTCTTTTGCCACTCCCTTGCATCCTTTCAATGATATCATCCCTTGGTACCCTTGTCTGTCTGCCTAATTCCTCTCTGCTCTCCAGCATATCTCTACACTGCCCTGCCCTGCCTGTAATATCGGTACATAGCATATTGCTGAGAGCTAAGTGATCTGTTTCTTCACTTTGGAATGTATTGACCTTGTATGAGGAGAAGCCACCAGAGAACAATTCTTAATGTCACCAGTTTCTGGTGTGTTGGGTTTATTAAGTACATTTTATTAGAATGAAGCTTGGTTTCATCCGATTTGACCAGTTAAGGAGCATGACCAAACCATGGGCCTAACAGCACTCATTCTAGTGTATCTTTCAATTGCTTCTTATTTTTTCCATAGGGACGTAAATATATCTGCCAGTCTTTGTAGCCAAGGAGAGGGCATGCCTACAATCTTCATGCTTGGAGGCAGTACTCCAGGGCAAGCTAATGAGTGTCCCCCAGTGCCTACCCACCAGAATGTAACACTATGTTTCAAAATAAATACAGGTAAGTCTACCTCTACATAGTCTGCATACTCCACAACACCTGATCTGGTCAGTCACCCGCCCTCACTAAACACACGCAGTATACTGCACCTTTGAAGTTTTTTTTTTGTAGAGCGGGTACAGAGACTCCAAGACGACCGCTGATTAGTCCGACCGAGGCAGCTACAGGATCTACGAGGCACTGGCTAGTTGATGTGGATGTAGCAGGTGCAGGAGCTCAAAGCACACACATCCTCACTCACTCATGGGCTAGCCACACCCCCTCTGCACCTGTGAAGTTTTAATAGCTTTGTCCCTGGTGGGTAGATTTACCCATCTCTTCCTCCTGGTTACCTTTATCACAGATAAAGAAAGTAATAGGAAATCAATTTTTACAGTTGTCACCAGAACAAGAGCTATCGGGTAAGCCTTTCCAATAGCCCCTGAAACGTTGCGCTTTGTATGTGACAATATGCATCAATAAAGAAGAAGTATTTTGGACACATTATTACGGTGTCCTGGTGACATTCCTTTTTTGCATGAGATTTAGGGCTTGTTCACACCGAATGCAGACCAGATCTGCATGAGTTTCTGCACACGCAGTGCAGTGGGTTGCCCGCGTTTTTGATGCGTTCCGGGTCGTTTTTGGTTTAAAAAAAAATATATATATTGTTTTTAGTTTAGAATGGGCTTTCAGTGCGTTCCAGGGCATTTGCATGCGTTCTAGAGCAGGTAAAATAGGGCTTGATGTAGTTTTTTTACATGCTCTGGAACTGAACGCTGTGGTGTGAACTAGAGCCCAAAATACCATTGGAATACATTGGATGCAGTTTTGGTCCGGTTCTGTAACTGCTCTGCTCCTGGAACACGCTTGGTGTGAACAAGGCTTGGATTAAGAGAAGTTTTAACCCTTCCCTACTCTATCCAAAACTAAAAAAATAGGATTGATGTACCCAGGGACTCAGGAAATGTGTGACCTTTTAAGTATTGTGACCTTTTCATCCATTGAGGGACAAAGGAAGATTTTAAATATCACGTCCATAAGCAGTCCAACGGAGGGATGAGCAACACAGCAAACAAACAGTAACAGGCCCAAGAATACGAAAGAGAACTGGGGACTCCCTGCAGCTCAGAGAGCCACCTGGAGAGCCTTATGCCTGAAACTGGCATCAGATAAGGCCACAAGTTCCACCTGGTAGAACTTAGAGAATGTGTGAACAGAAGTGGCAGCCTTGCAAATCTGGGAAACAGATGCTTGCTCCTGAAAAAGTCCAAGAAGCACTAGTAGAGTTCACCATGACAGCAAGGGGTGTTCCCTGAGACCAAAAGCTTGGATGATTGTCTGTCTGAGCTACTTAGAGATGGAGGAATGAGAAGCTGGTGTACCTGGGCCCATCCAGCATTACAATAAGAAAATCATTCTTTCAGAAAGAAGCAGTGACTGAGAGAGACTATCTCTAGACTAATAGGTTCAAACTGTGGTTTTTTAAAGTGCAGAAATAACCAACTTTACAAGGGAATGGACTGGGGAGCTCCAACAGCTCTGTAACTGGAAAGTGTTCGACAGGTAACTTTTACCAGAATGCAGTCTGGAAAGCACCCTAACTAGAGCTCAGTGGCTGCAGGACACTTCCCCAGGCTATCCCTGTATGTCCAATCCAGCAGGGTCCGGATGCAGTATTCCAAAAGCCAGGCTGAGGATGACTGTGCCAGAAAGCTGCAGTCGAATAGACAAAGCTCCAGAAGCATGTAGAGCAGAATATTGATTGAAGAAAAAAATCAAAAAAGAAAAAAGGTGTTACAAAAAAAAACAAAATTAGCCTTAGCACAGCAGAGCTGTAGAAAAGACATCCTAGAAGATTTTTTAAAAACCGAGGCAGTCTGGTAGTGGCAGGGGTTATCTTGGGCTGGCCTACAGTTATTTGTTTGCCAGTGTCCAATCATTCTGAAAGCGATGGTATAACCGGAAGGTTAAAGACTTCCTGTATCCCTCAATGGACAAAAAAAGATAAAGTTTTAGCTTGTGTACTTTTGGGAGGGGAGGGAGATGCATTATCTACTAAAATATGTCATGAGATATTTGCAATATTGCAATCTTGTCCACTTTAGCCTCTATTACCAGTGTGATGACATGGCTTTCTGTAGGTGTTCTATCTATAAGCACTCTTTCATTTGTCATTGCAGACTGCTCCCTCTGGGAGGGTGGGGAAGAACTCTCCGACCTCTTGACTGCTGTGGCTCAGTCATTGCAAACTCTCTGCAAGTGCCATGTATTTGCCAGCATGTTCACAGGTAACGTATTGACTGCAGAGTGTTGAGATAATCTGAGCCGTACCATTTTAATTAAGATGGTGAAATGAACCTGTGTAACAGCTAATTATGTTGTTCCTCATACCCAGCCCTCAAGTACCCCAACCAACAGGTCATTGTTTGGAGATTTCTGCCGGTGGGAAGCTGTGGTTATTACCAATATGGTGATATTGATAAATTCACCCATAAAAATATACGAAATTCCTCAAAACATGACCTGTACTGGGTGTTTTCGGACTAGAATCAAGAAACAATGCCATGTAATGACAAATTGGGACTTTCACCCTCCACATCGAACTATCCAAACAAATAATGACAAAAAACACATCTATTTGATTGTTCCTTGTGTGTTAATCGAGCTGCCCTTATAAAACGGACAGAAATCCTGAAAACATAGTTTGTTAGGGCTTTTTGATAAGTGAGGCCCCAGGATAAGTCTAATCACAATAGAAAGATGGCAATGTTAGTCAAAATCGTGATTGTTTTGCTAAGTTTGGTGCTGGTGACGTTAGGAAAAGCAAGTAAAACCTTGTAGGAATCCGTAAAGCACCCATAAACAATGATAGGCTGAAATACACACACATACATTTCTTATGAGCGTGTGTCCCGGAAATGTTGGCATTGGCGCTTACTGCTAATCAGTAGAGTACATATTAGTTCTTCTGCTGTGCTCATGATTGAGTGATAGTGTCATTTAAACTTTCCAAAATCAAGCTTATAGGATAATGAAGATGTTTTAACTCAAGTCACAGCTTGTTGTACTGAGTATGGTTCTTCTTCTCTGGTGTCATCTCTTCTCATGGGGATATATTTATCTACTTATTCATTTTATTTGCATGCAGATGCCAGTCTTACTTGTCAACTTGGCTTATTAACCCTTCATGCCAAGCAAAACGCAACAATGACGCCTCAAAGTGTTGACCTGGTTGATATTCATCAATTTGTAACAACGGGAAATGCACTGAATGTGCGTAATAAAAGTGCCATTGTGACATCAGTCTGCACCCCACCCACAACAATCTCAACAACGCCTCCAGGTAAGAAATAGTTTACTATAGTGGCCTCCTATCGCTTGCTAAGGAGACCTAACCAACTTGTGGCTGCTTTTGATGTATTTCGCAGCCTGTTGCAGTAGCTCAGAACCTGTGTGTCTGAACACCTCCTGCTCACCAAAGCATGCCCAATATTTAGGGGGCCACAGACTTTGCAGAGCAGCCTGATGTGATCGCCACAAGGCTTATCTCATCACTGGCTGTATCTTAAACAGATATGCATGTCTCTGGGGAATATACATGTTTATGGCCACATCTGGTTATGGCTTGAATTGCTTGACCAGGGATATCTGGGTGGTGCCCAGACATGATAACCTCATAGCTTTCAGATAAATGTTTAAAGATCAAACGTCACTAAACAACATTTCTGTCTAAATCTTTTTTATCACTTCAGAAAAAGCTCGACACATTCTGTAACAAAAAATTGTTACCACTTTTAGAAAATCAGATGTCTATAGACTGAAATGTACATATTATGTTTAACTACAATAAATTACCAAATAGCTTGTGTGGCAATTGTATATTTTATATAATTTGTTTTATTACAATATAGCATGTTTCTTCTTTTATACCAGAAAAAAAGCCCATGCTCTATTATTTGAATGCTTTTCTCTGTGCTGTCATTCAGCATAAATTAGAGGATGGGGTGTGCTCAGACAAAATAATATTAGAGAGTGACAACTGGTATTTAGAGGTTTTAATGGTCATAAATGTTTAATGCTATGCTGATTTTAACTTAAAGTTCTTCTGTGCTATTACCATTAACAAAGGTTTTGTCAAGTTCCAGTTTTATACTTATACTCTGTATTAGGCCTCCATACTTCAGATTTTATTTGAAATTGACTCATAGTCTACATCCAAAAGAGAGATAAAACATGTTACAGCACAGTTATTGTCAACAGTTTATAAAATTACAAAAAAACTCAAGTATACAAAAATACAATCAATACACCTTAGTCCATAAAAAGCACTTAAATACAAATGAATGATCAGCCCGATTTGCATACAAATTATCCATGTGCAAACTATGTGATTAATTCATATACAAATGCCCCGGCTCATTCCCGGGACACAGTCTGGAACACAGCTATGGCTGGACAAGTGCATAAAAAGCAGACTGTCCCAGCAAATCCGGGACAGTTGGTAAGTATGGATGATGCTGGACGCCCTCCAGCCAGGAAATGAGGCGGTCTCTATCTGACTTGCTGTAGCTTCTAATGCATCATGTTAGAAACTTACAGTGTGCAGTGAAATCAGAGGAAGCTATTTCAGTCCAGGAGAGGAGCCGGTACAACTGTGCAAGACTGAAGGGAAGGATGGAGAGTTTATCTTTAACACTGTACTAAGCTGCCTTGTGCAAGCTCTCACAAAGCACAGTGGTCTGGGTCTCCCAGCACTCCAATATACCACATGCACCCTTCTCCAATCAACATTGCTGCTAGAGCAGCAGTCTGGCTCTCCAACCATGGAACAGGCAGGTAAAATGGTAGTTCCTACTTAATCTCAGATTGAGCATTCATATTTGCTTTAGTATCAACAGGCACATTCATTGTGGTCAAAGCAGGTATATTAACTTTGATGTTTATATGACTTAGAGGTACATTTGCAGCGTTCTGTATTACTGCTCTTGGATCCTCTGTGTAAGCTGTAGTAAACACGGCCCTGCCTTCTCTTTTTTTCTTCCCTTCTGCAGAAATTACTACATTTGCTTCTCCACCTATTAATCCAGGCCTTCTACTAATTAATGAAGTCAATCCCAACACTCCTGGATCAGCGGAGGATACGGAATATGTAGAACTTTACCACACAAGTAACAGTTCTGTTAACTTGGTTGGCTACTGGTTGGTCTTATACAACGGGAAGAATAACCTGGCCTACAGCATACTCAATCTGAAAGGCTACAGCACAGATAATAATGGCTACTTTCTGATTGGAAGCAATAAGATGACTCCAAAGCCTCACATCCAGCTACGTCCCAACACCATTCAGAACGGGGCAGATGCCATTGCGCTATATTATCGTCCAAGAAAGACTGCGTTCACTGTAAATATGCCTGTGACACCGGATGGGCTGGTAGATGCCATGGTATATGTATCTCAAGCAAGGGATGATGCCTCTGGTCTCTTGAAGGTGTTAACTCCAGGACAAGAAGCTGTACATGAGGATGACACATTTATTGTGGAAGATGAATCCTTGAGTCGGTGCCTTGGATTGAAGCCCTTTGACCACTCTGCCTATCAGGTAAGAGCAGGGAAAGTATGGCCAGAAGGCAAGGAGGGCAAAAGTGCTGAGCCACTCTTGTTTTGCCATGGGAGCCCTATAACAGTGCTTAGTCAGTACAGAAGTACATTGTTCCTATACATAGTACTCATATACTGTAGGTGTTTAAAGTTTGTGTCCAGCCAGGCCCCCTACCATCCAAGATTTACATCCCTGCTTCCCAGAAAATCACTTAAAGGTCCCTCGAGTGCCCACATCACTCCCTCGGTGATTTGGACACTTCCTTTTGGCTGTGGACCAATGGAGTCCCCTCGGGCTCCAAAAAACTGCAGCGGTGTGATGATGTCACAACAAGGTGTGGCAACAAGATTGATATGTGGTGGGTCTAGATCGCAGCGCTGGATTACCAATCTCAATATTTTTTTCAGGTCACATTGTACCCAAAAGAATGAAAATAAATCTCAGAGTAATACCCAAGTTATTTGTATGAATTCTGAGGGGTTCAGCCTAAAGTAAACCTGTGGGAGATATGCAGGGGCTGCAGCTATTGAGATCCTTCTGGAAATTCTAGTTGCCTGGCTGTGCTAACCAGGAAAGTAAGAGAAGAGTCAGAAGTCTTAGACTGCATACTTGTTATTGGCCAGTGAAGTGAGAGAAGGCTTTGGCAGACTCCATGTTCCATTTAAACTTTGCTCCAGAGCTCTGTGGGGTTAGTTATATCTTATGTTTTGTAGTTCCCAGCTCTGCTCCCACAACCTGTGAGTCTGAGAGAGTGAGACCACCTCTTAAAGACCAGGGAAGGTTGACAGAAGTGGGAACTTAACTGCGGAGATCTGGATTCCAGATCCCCTGAGAGATATAAGTAACCAATTGTTAATCCAACTGATCTTCCTTGTCTCCTCCAATGTTGGCAGCTGGGGTCGGTCCTTACTCATGCATAATGGTCCTCGCGTGTATGTAATGATGTGCGATCACCATTCCATGCAGCAATTGTGACAGCCCAGACCAGCTTGATGACACACCCCCGGGGGGTGTGTCCATGACAGCAGAGGTTAACACAAAGTGGGTTGAATGATGCCGGGTGTCATTCAACCTAGAAAGGACCAGCTGGATTGTAAAGTGGTGAGTCTACAAACGGCAGCCCTGGAAAGGTGATAAGTATTTCAGAGAAAGCTGCATTTTTATTTTAACACATGCCAGGCAATGTATATATTTTTTTTTTTATTATGAAGTTGGAGGTGGGCTTTAAGAATCAAAGTTCATAAAGCCATTAATACATGTGTTGAATGAACTCTCCTTTTTAAAATGCTAGATCATGCCTGTTACGCTGGTTGAGTCACTGGACTGAAACAAATCTGCTGATTAGGAATTTATTGATTTGTTGTGATTCCAGTAGCAGCTTGCTTGCTTGCTTCACATCATTGACTCAGAAAATGTAAACAGTACAGATCCCCTTTAACCTCCCTGGCGGTATGATTATGTCAGGAATTTTGTACCAAAAGCGGTACATTGTTTTGCATGGAAATTGGGTGTTATCTGTTGTAGGCCTGTAATTCTTAGTAAATCTTAGGAATAACTCACTTAAATCTGTCCAAACAAGAGTCCAGTAGACATCCCAGGTATGATAAAGTTTGAAACACGAAATTAAAAAATTATAATATAATAAATTATAAATAATTATAAGAAATTATAATATAATACATAATTATAAATAATTATAAAAAATTATAATAT